AGAATTGAAAAATTTCAAAAATCTTATTTTTCAGAATTTTCAAAAAAACTTTGCGAAAATTCAATTTTTTAATCTTAGCACTAAGAAACATAAATACATTAAAATGAGACTCTTTATGAAATTCAATTATTTATCAAAATTATTAAATTAAAATACTTTGAAAATTCGATTTGTTAAAAAGTTTTTAATGAAATTCTTTAACAAATTTAATTATTTTCAGACGAATTTTACAAAATTTCTAATTCAATAATTTTTTTTAATTTATTTACTAACTATACATATGTGAATCAGTGACTGATTTTTTACTATCAAATTAATTATTTTTAGGTAATTCAAATTTAGAGAACAGTATAAATATCTAGAGAAATTGAAATAAAAAGCGAATTTTTGAAGAACGAATGAAAATAATAAAACTTTTTTTAATTTGGTAAAAAAAATTCCCGGTTAGTAGATTACCTTGAATCAGAATATTCTCTAGCGTCAGGGAAAAAGTCAAAATTTTGTCTCGAAATCAGGAAAAAGTCGGGAAAAAACAAAATTAAATTTTTGTGGCAAAACCTGCGTTTTTAATTAATACCGAATGTAGGAATAAACAATTTTTTTATTCGAAAGAAGAATTGAAAAGTTAAAATATAATAAAAAGTATTTAAATTTGCAGTTAGGTGAAAAATTAATACTTGGCTTGAATGAAAACGAGCAGTAAAAAAAAATTACACGGTAATATTCAAACCGGCAACATGAATCGAATTGGTAATTAGAATTGATTGCTCATCGTCAAATTATATTCGTGGAGGAAAATATTTCCGAGAATATATTGTAACCCAAATGAAACACTTTAAAATCCAAACCCAAATCTTTTAGTCTTTCTTAAAATTTGATGTTTTTTTTCACACGTTTTTCTTGTTCTTTTTAGTGAACAGAAAAAAAATTGAATTTTTTTTTATTTATAGATGTGTTATAGATGTATTTATAAATTTTTTATTTTTCATGAGAGTGTTAGAAAAGAATAAATTTTATTTGTTCAAATAAGATGGGAATGATTTTTCTATTTTTCAGTTTCTTATTCAAATGAGATGGAATGATTTTTCTATTTCTTCCTTTTTCCTTGTCTGTCTAGTTGTTAAAAATATGCTCGTACGATCGAATTGCTTCTTTTTGATAGTAGAGTAAAAGGCAGACACATATACACGCCATTGAGGCGTTGAATAAATTTCAATAATCATCTTGTCTCGATTAAAGCGTTTGTGAGACAAGTACCGAAACATCGTTAGCCTCAATTCCGCCCAAGTGCTTAAGGACATGAAACGAAAACCTTATAAGTCACACTTGGAGAGGAAAATTAGTTTTATTCTTCTCTCGCATTTTTCGATCCCTTTTTTTGCTAATTGAATTTTTTTTTCTTCTTTTATTAATGCGAGCGAAATTTTTATAATTATACGATAGTCGATTGTCGTTTTGTAATTTATTGAGAATTTTAATTTTATTGGTACCTATACCAATTATTTTATATTTATAAATACAAATAAATTTAACAATTTTAACTGTAGAAAAAATTTAATTAACACAGACTTCGCACTCGATAATTTATTTTAAAAAAGTATCCAAAAGTAACTTTCAAACTAAAAAAAAAAAGTAGTAAAAAAGTGGCTATCGAAAAATTAAACTTGACGACCAAAAAAACTCGTTTTAGGCTCTTCACAAAACTGACAAAAAATTCTACTCTATATTTTATTTTCCTGACTTTTTCCTAATTTTCATCAGAAATATATTTACTTCTTTCTTATCCTGCTAATAAATTGAATCCCTGCAACGAATTTTATTAATCATCAAAGAATTTGAAAATTTATAAAAATAATTTAATTCTTGCAAAGATTTTTATAAAAATTTTTAAATAATTGATTTCTTTCCACTACTTTTTTGTAAATTCTAATTTAAAAAATTGAATTCCTGAGAAATTTTTATTATTCATGAAAAGAATTGAATTCTTACGTAGATTTTTACAAAAAATTTTTTAGATAAATTGAATTCTGTTTGGAAGTTTTATGAAAATAGTAGATACTGAAAATCATTGAATTGCGAAAAGTTTTTATAAATAATTAAATTTTAAAAAGAATTTTATTAAAATTTTTGATAATAATTGAATGTCTGTGTAGTATTTCATTAAAATTTTTTTTAAAAATAATTGAATTCCTAAAAAGCATTTTATTATTTATGAAAATAATTAAATTCTTGCAAACGATTTTATAAAATTTTTTTTAAAATAATTGAATTTCCAAGAAGAAATTTATTACTTTTAAAAATAATTGAATTCTTGTAATGAATATTGTTATTTATGAAAATAATTGAATTTTGCAAAGAAATTTATTAAAATGCGTTAAAATAATTGAATTTTTGGTAAAAATTTAATTTTAATCTAAAAGAATAATTGAATCGTTTCAAAAAAATTTAATTAAAATTGTAGGTATTTAAAATAATTAATTTCTTTCGAACAATTTTATTAAAATATTTTAAAATAATTGAATTCGTGTGAAAAATTTTAATACTTTTCTAAATAATTAAATTCTTCCAAAGAATTTAAAAAGAAACATTTTTTTTAAATAATTGATTTTTTCAAGGAATTGAAATAAAAATTTTTTAAAATAATTACATTTTTTGACTAATTCCTATAAAATTGTATTAAAAATAATTGAAATTCGGTGATGAATATTATTATTTATGAAAATAATTGAAAGGTTGCAAAGAATTTTATTAAAATGTTTAAAAAGAATTGAATTTTTGTAAAATGTTTCATTTTTGAAAATAGTTGAATTTTGCAAAGAATTTTATTAAAATTCCTCAACAAAATAATTGAATTCTTTGGAAGAATTTTATTAAAATCTAAAAGAATAATCGAATTATGTCAAAAAAATTTAATTAAAATTCTATTTCAAATAATTAATTTCTTTCGAACAATTTTATTAAAATATTTGAAAATAATCTAAATCGTTCGATGGATTTTATTATTTATGAAAATAGTTTAATTATTGCGAAAATTTTTTTAAAATGTTTATAAAGAATTGAATTTCTGTAAAAAGAAGTTTGTTATTTTTGAAAATAATTGAATTCTTCATAAGAATTTTATAAACATTGTTTTAAATAATTAATTTCTTCGAAATATAATAAATATTATGAAAATTTTATTTTAAATAATTGAATTCTTGTGGAGATTTTATTATTTATAAAAAAAATTTAATTTTGGATGAATTTTATCAATTTTTTTTAAAATAATTTAATTCTTTTGGGAAATTTTATGGAAATACTAGATTTTGAAAATAATTGAATTTTGCAAAGAACTTTATTAAAATGTTTCAAAATAATTTTTATTTTTTAAAAATAATTAAATTCTTGATAACAATTTTACTATTTAAAAAAATAATTGAATTGCCGAGACAAATTTTTGTTACTTTAAGAAACAATTGAAATTCCGGTCAAAAAATGCTTGTTATTAATCAAAAATAATTGAATTTTTGTGAAAAATTTTGCTATTTAAGAAAATTATTAAAGTCCAGAGAAAATTTTTGTTATTTATGAAAATTAATTGAATTCCTGAGAAAAATTTTATTATTCATGAAAATAATTGAATTATTGCGAAAAGTTTTATTAAAACGTTTAAAAAGAATTGAATTTCTTGTGGAAAATTTTATTATTTAGGAAAATAATTTAATTTCCTTAAAAAGTTTTTCTTATTTTTTAAAAATAATTGAATTCTTTATAAGAATTTTACTTATTTAAAAAAATAATTGAATTCCCGAGAAATATTTTTGTTATTTTAAAAAAAAATTGAATTTTTGTGAAAAATGTTGCTATTTAAGAAAATAATTGAATAACAGACAAAAATTTATTATATTTTTTCAAAAATAATTGAATTCCTCGGACGAATTTTATTTTTTACGAATATAATTGAATTATTGCGAAAAATTTTATTAAAATGTTTTAAAAAAATGGAATTTCAGTGAAAAATTTTATTATTTAAAAAAATAATTGAATTTCTGAAAAAAAAAATAATAAATTTTATGAAAATGTTATATTCAATATAATTGAATTCTTATGCGGAAAACTTTATTTTTTTGGAAATAATTGAATTTTTCCTTTAATTGATTTAAAATCCTATTAAAAAGAATTGAAATTCTTCGATGAGTTTTATTATTTATGGAAATAATTGAATTCTTGTTTAGAATTTTATACACAATTTTTTTTTTAATTGAATTTCCACTAAAATTGTTATTATTAGTGAAAGATTTTTGAAATATTTTTGAAAATGCTATTCTAAATTAGAGGAATTCCGGTGGGAATTTTATTTATGAAGATAATTGAATTTTGGATAAATTTTATCAATTTTTTTCTTTAAATAATTAAATTCTTTTGCGAAATTTGATGAAAATACTAAATATTGAAAATATGAATTTCGAATATTTTTTTGAAAATAATTGGATTGTTTTAAAGAATTTGATTATAATTTTTTTGAATAGTTTTTTGATTTCCAGTATTAGCGAATTTAAAGTAGTGGAAATTCTCAAAAAAAAAAAAAAAAAAAAAAACAGAAATAGTAGCTTTTAGTGGTTGAAATCTAAAAAAAGTACCCAAATAGTAGCATAACGTGAATTAGCATAACGTTTTAGTATAGATGGTAGGTTTTATGAGATGGTAGGTGACAATTCGTGACAATTCGTTGCAATTTGATACTTTTAAGGTATCTCCGGCTGCTACTCTTGAAAAAATTGAGTTTTCATAGATTTTCTTCAAATTTTGAGAAAATGTTTCTGAAAATATCTCGTTTTTTGACATGGCAAAGGGTTTTGAAATTTTTACCACATTTAAAGGGTAACCAAAGAAACAATTTCTTAAAATTTGAAGAAAATTTATCGAAAATCGAGTTTTTCAATAAAGTAACAGCCGGAGAAGTGCCTTAAGTTAACAGTGGAATGAATAAAAATGGTAAAGAGGTAAAGAGGAGTACTCACTGTTTCCTGGTGAGATGGGAGTATTTGAGGTTGAATTTTAGGCGAATGATGAGGCCTCGTTAGTTGCCTCCATGGCGATGCGGTGACTTGATTAGCGACATGTCTCCTGGGAGGTTTCCACCTACAACAACTCTCACCACACGTTAGATCCTCACCAGTTTGTGAATAATCAAGCCTCTCGATGCTACTGGAAGTGCCGATGGTCGTCGTGCCATAATATAAAGGTGGCACTCTCTGCTCCAAGAACTTGTCATCATTCCTTTCGTGATAGCCTGTATCCGTGGCAATTCCAAGGCTAGTCAAACGATGCATATCGTCCCCTCTTGATTTGCAATTAGACTGTCTACACGACTCACTGAAAATTCTCATCTTAAGTGCATCGACATTTTCTGAAATTGGTTCACTGGGTCTTTTCGACGACAAGTAGGACGGTACATCATCGTGTCCCTTGCCAATAAAACTTTCACAATACCTAGACTCCTGTGAGTAGAGGATTTGATTTTTTATTGAATCCGATCGCATGTCTTCGGGAAGGAGACTATTTCTTTGCTCGCTCTCTGCAACTGCCGTTGATGTGGTTAAAATATTCTCGTGACTCATTTGCCAATAGGGCGTTGGACTTTCGAAGAAGAAGTTGTTTCGATATTTTATGTGATCGTCTGACCTGCGATAAATTTGTGAATTTGCTTTTGTATAATCATCATAAGCGGAATAGAGGGTCTCCTGTTTTTTCTTTAATAAATTCTGATCGTAGTCGTGCGAAAGAATTGTACGTCGAGGACGATGATACCATTTTTCGTTCGATGGATATTGATCGCACTCGAGATATTTTGTACTTATTTTTAGGTCCTTTATGTCCTCGGGTTTGCAGTCATTTTTCATAACCATTGGCAGTGGTGGCAGTTGAATGTGAAGTGCTTCGGCGGCTCTGAGAAAAGCGCTCAGTCTTGGACGTGGTACAGTCGCATTTCCGGTGTAGACGAAACCTAATATTGCTGCCAATTCCGGTCCCTCGACTTCCGCCAGAATTACTGTTATCGGCTCGCAATAATCGACGCCTTTACTGTGCGCCAATAGGACCTCCTGAAACAAAATAATTAACAATTGTTGTTTAACAATGTTCAACAATATTAGAACTCGAAGCAGTGAAAGTATTTAAAAATAGTAAATACGGACTTTACGGACCAAAAATTAAAAATTACTGACCATTTACGGACCAACTGACAAAAATAGAATCAGGCCCAATAAAATAAGAGAACATTTTACTTAAAACTAGAAATTCAATTTTTCATAAATATAAAACATGAAGAAATCGACAACTCCGAGTCTTCGACTCGAAGTCATCAATTTCTTCATGTTTTATAATAATTAATAATAATTATTAATAAAAATTATTATTATTATTATTTTTTTTTTAATTTTTGAAAAAGTTCTTTGACAATTTTCAAATTTATTTCTTTACAATATTCAATTTTACGAAATTTCAATTATTCGTAAATTCTTTAATTAAATAAATATTAGAAAAAAGAAACTAAAAATAATATTAAAACAACTCAATTAAACTTTTTCAAAAAAAAAATTAATTACAAAATTCAATTATTTTTTAAAATTCACGCTCTATTGCATTTAATATTCTATTATCTAAAAGTTAAACTAAAATTCATTTTTATGAAAAAAAATAATAAAAAAAAAAAAAAAAAATTTTTTTTTTATTATATAATAATAATGAAAATCAATTTTTATTAGAAAATTCTGCTAGAATTCAATTATTTAAATAAATATTGCGAATAAATAATTTATTGAATAATTGAACGTTTCTTCAAGTTCGATTCCCATAAAAAATCGATATCAACAAATTTTCAAATAATTCAATTATTCTATCAACGAATTTTAATAAAATTTTTAAGAATAATTACATTTTTATTATTTATGAAAATAATTGAATTCTTGCGAAGAATTTTATTCAAATTTTCAAAAATAATTAAATTCTTGTAAAAAATTAACAGGAATTCAATTATTTTTAAAAATTTTTAATAAAATTCTTGGCATGATTAAAAATAACAAAATTCTTAGCAGATATTCAATTACTTTCGGAAATTTTAATATTTTCGTAAAATAATAAAAATCTTTGCAGAGATTCAATAATTTTCAAAAATATCAGAATTTTAGCAGAAATTCAAACATTTTAAAAAGTTATGATAAAATTTTTTTTTTTGGTAGAAATTCAATTATTTAAATACAAAAATAAATAATTTATTGAATAATTGAATGTTTCTTGGAATTCAATTCCTATTAAAAATTTTATCAACAAATTTTTAAATAATTAAATTTATTGGACGAATTTTAATAAAATTTTTAAGAATTTTTTCGATGAATTCGATTAAAATTCTATTGAAAATAAATGAATTCCTAAAAAGAATTTTATTATTTACGAAAATAATTGAATCCCTGTAAAAATTTTGCAATGGATTTTATTAAAATTTTAGAAAATAATTGAATTTTATTCCTTTAGAAAATAATTGAATTTTATTCCTTTAGAAAATAATTGAATTTTATTCCTTTAGAAAATAATTGAATTCGTGTGATAAATATTATTAATTATGAAAATAATTGAAATTTTCCATTGGATTTAATTAAAATTTTTGAAATTAATTGAATTTTATTCCTATATAATTGATAAATATTGTTAATCATGAAAATAATTGAAATTTTGTAATTAATTTTAATAAAATTTTTGAAAATAATTGAATTTCGGAAAAGAATTTTAATATTTCTAAAAATAATTAAAAATTCTAACCAATCATTTCGATTCATTTAAAATACAGTTTCCTTCAATTTTTTTGAAAAAAATGAATTGTTTAAAAGAATTTTTTAAAGTTCTTCTTTGTTCTTTTCTTTGAATTAATTTATTTTTAAGGGCATTTGAACCATGATGACGTCACAGATTTAAAACTAATGCTTTGCACAAACTGTGACGTCATCAAGGTTCAAATCCCCTTAATTTAATTTCAATAAAATTTATTTTAAAGTATTCAATTACTTTCAAAAAAATTTTTTTAAAAATTCTATACCTGTAAGAAAATATTTTCTATAAAATGTTAATTAAATAATTAAATTCTTGTAAAAATTAGATTAATTATTAAATTAATTGAATATTTGCGAAGAATTTTAATAAAATTCTCTTCAGTAATTGAATTTATCTAAAGTATTTTCTTATATTCATGACAATAATTGAATTCTATCGAAAAAATTTTTACTTATGAGAATAATTAAATTCTTCCAAATTGTTTTCGTCGAATTTAATTAAAATTTTATTAAAAATAATTAATTTCTTATATAGAACTTTATTACAATTGTACTAAAAATATTTCAATTCCCGTGAAGAATTTTGTAAAAATCTTTTAAATAATTGATTTTATTTTGAAAAAATTTAAAGAAAATTATATTTTAAATAATTTCAATTCTACGATGAGTTTTATTATTTATAAAAATAATTGAATTACTGCAAAGAAATTGAAAAAAAATTAAATACAAAAATAAAAATTTTGTTGAAGAATTGAATGTTTCCTAAAATTGAATTCTCATAAAGAATTTTATCAACAAATTTGTAAATAATTGAATTCTTTCGACAAATTTTGATGAAAATTTCAAAAATAATTACATACTTCGAGGAATTCAAATAAAATTTTTTTTTTAAATAATTGAAATTCTATAATGAGTTTTATTATTTATGCGAATAATTAAATACATAAAAAGAATGTTATTATTTATGAAAGTAATGGAATCCCTGTAAAAAAATTTTTTATTACTTATAAAAATAATTCAATTATTGCGAAGAAATTTATTAAAAATTTGTAAATAATTGAATTCATGTAAAATTTTTATTATTTAGGTATAAAAATAAATAATTGTTTTCGTAAAATTTTTTCAAAATGTTTTTTAAATAATTGAATTCTTTTTGAACATTTTATTAAAAGTATAGATACTAAAAATCATTGAAAATAATCGAAATCTTGCCAAAAATTTTAATAAAAATTTCAAAAATAATTGAAACAATGCAAAAAATTTTATTTTTTTTCAAAATAATTGAATGTTTGCGTAGAATTTTATTAAAATTTTGAAAAATAATTAAATTCCTAAAAAAAATTAAAATCTTTCCAAGAATTAAATTCAAATTTTCTTAAATAATTGAATTCATTTGAAAAATTTTATTAAAATAGTATATATTGAATAATCATTGATTTGCAGAAGACTTTTGAAAATAATTGAATTTTAGAGAAGAATATTTTATTATTTCCAAAGATAATTAAAATTTTGTCGAGAATTTAAAAAAATTTTTGAAAATAATTGAATTTCAAGGAAGAATTTCAATACTTTTGAAAATAATGGAAATTTAGACGAGGATTTTTGAAAAAATTTTCGAACATAACTTAATTTCCGCGAAGAATTTTATTACTTTTGGAAATAATTGAATTTCTGCAATCATTTGTAACTTTTCCAAAATTCAATTTTTTTGCGTTTTTAACTAAAATTTTTAAATAAATTCATTATTTTTAATTTTTTTTAGGACTCTTACTAAAAAACTTTATCGTTTCTCTGACCAATTCTACTTTCCCTAAAATTTTTCCTGAAGTCCTTGATCTGTGTCAATACTGATTCTACTTGTTGCAAATATTATTTTTAAACATTTTTTGTGCCGAATTCAAAAATTTGTGTCTGAAGAAAAATCAAAAAATCGTGTTCGACTCGATTTTAATCCTACCAGGAAAATTCTATTATCTATCTCACTGAAAATCATAAAAAAAATTCTAAATTTTTGCAAAAAAAAAAATTTACACAAACCCTGAGGATATTTCCTTTTTGGAAAATAAATTATCAACGTAATTAAGTATCGTACTTTTTTTTATCAGACAATTAATATAAATGTCGGAAGTATGTGTTTTTAAAGTGAAAGATGCCACTCGAGACAACTTACATAATCTATCTTTTAATTACGACATTTGTAATTAATGAACTGTGATTTTTTTCATCGTGGCAATATTTAGTAGCACTCAAGATGGATAATAAACATTATATCTGTCGTGTTTTTCTTAAAATCACCGTTAGAGACTATTTCTAGATGAGAGTCCCCTGAAAATTAGTAGCAATGAGCGAATGGAAAGTGACTCATCTTACGAGACAAGTTAACGGTGATTTTTTTTTTCATCACTATATTTCTGCTAATGTTTTTCACCTAATAAATATCAAAATGTGCATAAATATATTCTTATCTCATTCGTAGAAACGCCGCAATTTTGAATATATAACGTCGAAGGTGTTCGAAAAAGACTGTAAATTTTCAAATTATCCTCAATTTAGTGTCAATTTTGTTTTTTTTGGACTTTTTTTTTTTTTTTGGTCGAGACGATGTGACTAAACTCGCAGTTATATTGCGTGAATTTAAATTTATAAAATGTCTACGATACTGCCGCATTGGGTCATTGGGGTGAGAATTTTTATGTCTCTATGTTATAAATGACACATGAAAGTAATCAAAAATAAATTATGCAAATCATTACAACAAATTATGAGAATTAATTGCACGAGTAACTTAACAAGTAATTATACAAATAATCGGGCAGATAATTATAGGAATAACATTTTTTTTTCCTATACTGTATATTTGGGTTTTTTGATAAAATATTGGAGTGTACAATTTTTTTTTGATATAATGAATTTGGATAAATAAGTAGCAGATGTTAATAAATAAATTAGCAGGAATAATGTTAAATAAATTAAGGATAAAACACATGTAGATTAATAGATTAACTAGTAACAATTCGCGCACTAAAGCGCGCGGCTAACTTCTTACATAATATTTTTAATAAAATAAGCAATTTTAAAAAATAATAGAATTTAAAAATTTGTAATTCAAATTTTTTTCATAAATATAAAATATAAATTGGAATATAGTTTTTAAACTATTACAATTCTATAATAATCATAATTTCTGAAACAGAGGATTCAGGGAAAAGTCAGACATTTTTATTAAAAGTACAGGAAAGAATTTAATCTTTAGAATTCATAAGAAAATTCTAAATTTT